AAGGGAGAGGGAGTAGGAGTAAAGAGGCGCGAAGAAGGGAGAGAATGATTAAGAGAAATGGGAGAAGTGTAATAAAGAGAGAAGAGAAGGAAACCGGAAGGAGATGGAGGGGGGCCGATGGCAAATTGCTCTGAGAGTGAGAAAAAAATGAATTTATTTTTCTACGTTTTATATGATGATGTCCTGTTTCTTTCTTCCGTCCTCCTTCTCCCTTTATTCGGCGTCGCTTCCTTAATAGTCGATCTATCAATTTATTAATCTATTTATTCTTTTCCATCTAGCTGTCGTAATCTGACGACATTTTTCTCTTTCCCTCTTCCTTTTTTCAAATATCTTTTTCCCCTCCCCTCCTTCCGTTTCAGCTTTTATTCCCCTTTCCCTCCTCAGTCTCTCTGTATCCTTTCACCTTCCCCTTCACCTTCAATTTCCTGGCTTTCTATTCCCTCCGTTCCAAATATCTCTTATTCCCTCTCACCCCCCCCCCCCCCCCCGCCCTCCGCACGATCTCCCCCCCCCCTTCCCTTCTTCTCTACCGCACCCTCTTCCTACCTGCACCCCCCCTTCTCCCCCCATTACCCCGCTCACCACCCTCTTCCCCCTGCCTTCCTCTTCCCCCCATCCCTCTACCCCAGCTCCCCCTCCTATCTACTCCAATCCCGCTCGCCCATCAGTAGCATACCGTCCTCACAGCCTCCCTTCCATCTGTGGCGTGTGCTGTGTCCTCTATTATAATTTTCTCACTACAGCAACACACGGGGGTAGGTAGGGTAGGGAGTAGGTGATGGGGAGAGAGGTATTGGGGGTGGGTGGAGGGGAGGGCAGGGAGTCTGGCCAGGCACGTCGGATCTCTGATTGCCAGTGGGGCGGGGGAGGAGGGGAGGGGAGGAAGGAGGGTAGGGAGGGGAGTGGAGGGGGAGAAAGGAGGTAGGGGATCAGGGGGTGGATTGGAGGAATGAGGGTCGGTGGAGGGTGACGGTGGGGAGAGGAGTAGTAGGGATAGGGCGGAGAGGGTGGGTGTGGAAACGTATGATCTGTGGCGCACTGAACCTTCTTTTAATCTTTCCTGCCCTACTCTTTCTGTCTCCTCTCTTCTCTGCAGCGTCTTCTCTCTCTTCTCTCTCATCTCACATCTCTAACGCCTCGCCTCTCTCTTGGTCCTCTTCTCTCTCTCTTCATTCTATCTCTATTCTTTTCTTATGCTCTCTGTCTCTCTCCTTTCTATCTCTCTCTCTCTCATCTCTACACTCTCTCTCTCTAATCCTCTCTCTCTCTCTCTCTCTCTCTCTCTCTCTCTCTCTCTCCTCCTCTCTCTCTCTCTCCTCTCTTTCTTTCTCTTCTCTCTCTCATCTATCTATCTATCTATCTATCTATCTATCTATCTATTTATCTGTCTTATTTATCTGTCATATCTCTCTCTCTCTTTCTCTCTCTTTTCCGTCTCTCTTCCCTCTCTTCTCTCTCTCTCTCTTTCGTTTCTTCCTTTCTTATTACCTTCGCCAGTCCTACTCCCCGCTCCACACCTCATAAACTTTGCAATCACTGACAAACTGCATCAATTGCAAACTTGGCAAAGTCGCGCCTTGCTCTTGTTTTTTTTTTTTTTTTTTTTTTTTTTTTGCTCATATCGATAACATTGTTGTGATTATTTTTGGTATGACTGTTTCGTTGACATTGTCGTCATCTTCGTTATCTTCGTCATCATCAGTTGTCATCATTATTTGCATCGTCATTATCATCATCATCGTTATTGATACTTTTAATTTTTTTTTTTATTATTATTATCATTATTGTTGTTGTTGATGTAATCTTTTCTCTTTGCCTTCTCTCAGTCTTCTTTTTCTTCCTTTTTTTTTTTCTCCTCTTCTTCTTCTTGCTTATTTCCCTTTTTCCTCTTCTCCTCAGTCTTTTTTTTCTTATTATTGTATTCTCCTTCTTCCTCTTCTCTTGTCTTCTTTTCTTCTTTCCTTCTTCTTACTTCCTCCTTGCGTTGTCGCCAAATTCGAATTCGATCCAAACACCGAACTCGTGTGATCTAACTCTGTTTTGACTGGACCTGAATGGAGTTCTGATTAATTCTGATTAAATGTGATTGTTAGTTTAATTAGCTCTGATTTCTCTCTCTCTCTCTCTCTCTCTCTCTCTCTCTCTCTCTCTCTCTCTCTCTCTCTCTCTCTCTCTCTCCTCTCTCTCTCTCTTCTCTCCTCTCCCTCTCCCCCTCTCCCTCTCCCCTCTCCTCTCCCTCTCCCTCTCCCTCTTCCCTCTCCCTCTCCCTCTCCCTCTCCTCTCCCTCCCCTCTCCCCTCCTTCTCCCTCTCCCTCTCCCTCTCCAATGTAACTCGCATAGGAACTCGACGTAAAAGAAAAGGAGAAAATCATTTAGAATATGACTAGAAAATGAGTGTTAGTTTAATTAGCTCTGGCGGAGTGTGACCTCGGCGTAACTCGCTAATGACCTTGTAGTAACGAAAGGGAAAGTAATTTAGAGTTTTAAGTGGGAGATCGTCGTGAGTTGATCGTGGCTGGATGGAAGGGGGGCTTGACGAAGATCCGATACACATGAACAACTAGGAACATAACTTGACACCAACGTTACTCCACTCCATACTCCACAACATTACTCTACTCCAACATTACCCACTCCATTACTCCACTTTAACGTTACTCCACTCCATACTCCACGTACTCCACTCCACTCCACTCCACATTACTCCACTTTACGTTACTCCACTCCACATGCTAACCAGCCCTTCATACGTAACAACACTTTAAACCCGGCAAATCAAAAAAAAATTCAACTTCCCTGAATTCAAAACTTCAAACTCCATAAAACTCATATTGTATCCTTAAGTTTCGAGTATGACGACTTCGAGTGTGACGAACTTGCGAGTGTGACCTTCAAGTGTGGGATCAACAGCAGCTGAGAGCGAGAGCCAGTGACCCTAAGGGAGGGGAGAGGGGAGGGGGAGGGCGGAGAGGGGGAGAGAGGAGGGGGGAGAAGGAGGGAGAGAAGAGGGAGGGGAGAGGGGAGGGGAGGGAGGGCGGATTGGGGAGGAGGCGAGGAGGAAGGGGAAGACGGTGAGAAGAAGAAGGGGGGGGAGAGGGCGGAGAGAGGAGGGGAGGGGCGTTAGAACAGGAATATGTTAGGGGATGGGAGAGGATAGGGGGAGGATAGATTGGGTGGGGAGGTGCAAGCAAGTTAAGGGGATGGGGTGGTGTGGGGGGATTCATGCAAGGCGCCTGACCCCCTCAAGACCTGCTTTGTCCTACCTGCTTTTTTTTGGGGGGAGGGGATGACTCCAAGCCTTTATACACGAGGCTTTTTGGAGTGGTATCCCCCCCCTCCCCCTTCCACCCCCCCTCGCCCCTTCCACCCCCCTCGCCCCCTTTTGAAATATTAATTCACATCAAATTAAAAAAAAAAAAAAAAAAAAAAAAAAACAGAGGGGAAAGCCTTATAGGGCAAAAGATACAACAGATAAAAAAAATACAGCGGGAACCAAAGAGAAGAGAAGAGAGAAAGCGGGCGTGTTATATGGTTCCACCTGACGCCCAGAGAAGAGAATCTCGCTGGACTGCGTGTCGGGATAGCCTGAGGGTGGGGTTGGGTTGGGGGGGAGGTATTGGGTGGGGGGGGAGAAGAGGAAGGAAAGAGGAAAGAGAGGTAAAGGAAGGAAGAAGAATGGGGGGAGAGTGGAAAGAGAGGAGAGGAGGTGAAAGGGAGGAAGAAGAAGGAGGAGAGAGTGGAAAGAGAGGAGGAAGAGGTGAAAGAGAGGAGGGAGAAGTGAATGGGAAGAGGAAGAGAGGGAAAGGTGAGGAAGAGAAAAGGTAGGAGGGAAAGGGGAAGGTTAGGAAGGAGAAGGAAAATATGGGGGGGGAGAAAAGGGAAAGGGGGAAAGAAAAAGAATGAGAAAGGAAGTGAGGAAGAGAAAATGGAGGAGGAGAGGGGAAAAGGATGAGGGAGAGAGAAAAGGAGGGAGGAGAGGGGAATGGAGGAATGAGAGAGGAAAGGGAGGTGGGACTGAAAAAAAATATGAGGGAGAGAGTAAAAGGAAGGAAGAAAAGAAGAAAAGATAATATTGAAGGAGAAAACTGCGATAGAAATGAAATTCGGGATTCTGATCGTCTGAGTTGTGTCCTGTTTGTCTTATGCCGTCATCATTTATGGCCTTCGTTGTGAATTATGTTTATGCGTGGCTTTTGTGTGTATGCAGAGAGAGAGAGACAGAGAAACAGAGAAATCTTGAGAGAGAGAGAGAGAAGGGGGAAGAAAGAGGCGAAATCTTGAGAAGAGAGAGAGGAGGAGAGACAGGAGAATCTTGAGAGAGAGAGAGAGAGAGAGAGACAGAGAGAGAGAGATAGAGAGAAGAGAGAGAGAGAGAGAGAGAGAGAGAGAGAAGAAAGAGACAGAGACAAATCTTGAGAGAGAGAGAGAGAGCAATCACATTCCCCGTAAGACAATGCCAGAGAAGGAACAATGCCCCTCAGATCTATGACAAAACAGAACGATAAAGCGATTATTCCAGCCGGGCGAAGGGGGCCTCCAGCAAAGGCAACTCCACTCGCCGTTCGCCACACTGCATGCTGAGTCTCGCATGGGCGTGTCGACGTTAACATAGGGCAACGAGGCGTGAGGGAGAGACCAGATGCCAGGTGTTGGAGGAAATGATGTCGAAAGAGGGAGAAGTGAAATGGGGTTGGTGGGGGAGGGGGGAGGGAGGAGGAGGTGTGATCTTGGCCGTGGGCACCGTCTCGTGGCACCGTGGCACCTCCAAGGTTCTCGGGGCTGATGGAGGGCAGCTCAGTTTAGCACTGGGGCCGACGACGACAGGACGAGCCGCGCCCAGCGAGCAGCCATCGAGCAGCCCACCGCCGCCTCCACCACCCGCTGCATGGCGCCTCCAGCATCTCCATCTCTCGCCGACGCCGCCGTTGTCCGCACTGTGTTCCGACGAAACCGCGCCACTGCCGCCACTGCAGCTGCCGCCTCCAGGACGATTTCGGGAGAGACACATTACCGAGACGAGCGCCTCTGACCTTCCTTCCAGAGGGGGCCTTGCGAGCGGCACTCTGCCCGGCAACCCCTGAACCCCACCGTGAGGGGATCTGAGGGAAAGCCTCCCCGGGGGGTTTTCTCGTCGTCCTCAGCTGGATCGCCGACGCGAGGCTGACCCAGCAAGAGGCGACGCTCGAACCTCGAGGTCTACCTTGTGCGCCTGTACGAAGTAACCCTCCAACAAAAAAGAAAAAGAAAAAAAAATAACCGTGGATTTACTAAACGTGACCCACGTGACCTTTTAACCGCATTTCTCTGTATTCCTTTATTCGTTATCCTTCTGACCCCTGTTCTACCACTGACCAGCAGACACACCAGGATCTCCCAGATCCTGACCAAATTCCTCCCCCAAAACCAAATCAGTTAAAAAAAAAAGAACAAAAAAAGACTAAGAAAAAAAATACTTCCCACAGCAAGCCCACAGTATCTCACTCCTTTCCCCTTCACGCCCACGCCTCCGCCCACACCCACAGCGCACGCCGACGACTTGAACGACTCGACCCCGCGACGACGTCTTCGAAAAGGGCGCCGCATCCCCCGCCGTTCCACCGGGGGATCGACCTCCCTTGTTCAAGCTGTCCTGAAGCTGTGGTTCGCATAGCTGGGTGATAGTTGGGAGAGATACTTGACAAAAAAATAATTTAAAAAGAAAGAAAAAAAGTTCAAAAGATTTAGAAACTAATAAAAAATAAATAGATATATATGTTGCATGTGAGTGGTTCGCGAATTCTGGAAGGATATCGATACAGTGTCTCAATCCTGTGATAATCGTGTCTGCAGTGGGAGTCGTGCGCGGTTCATCTCCTTAGTGACTCGGGAGAAACCAAAAGAAAGAAAGGAAGGAGAGAAAGAAAAGGAATAAAACACAGTGAGAAGAACGCATCCGCTTGAACATCGAGACGCAGAAATTGCTGGCATCATCCGAGGAAGAGCGAGAAAAAATAGAAGAAGGATAGAAAAGAAGAGAAGAAAACGAAGAGAATAAAAGAGAGAGAGAAAAAATAAGATGAACTAAAAGCCGAGGAAGAGAAGAGAAGAGAGAGAGAGCGAAACTAGAAAAGCGAAAGACCTCAACGTAACGGACATTACCTCGCTAAGACGAGTATCAGCCAGACCGACTGAAGCTTAAAGTGAGTGCATGGTGCAACACACAATACTTGGCATCACCGTTGGCACTCTTGTCGGCACCTGCCCACCCAACTTACCTCTCTTTCCCTTCCCTCCTTCTCTCTTCCTCTTCCCCCTCTTTCCCTTCCCTTCCTTCTCTCCTTTCCTTCTTCCCCCCTTTAATTTTCCTTTCCTTTCTTCTCTCCTTTCCTCCTCCCCCTTTTTTCCTTCCCTTCCTTCTCTCCTTTCCTCTTCCCCTCTTTCCTTCCTTCCTTCGTTCCTCCTTCCCTGTTTCCTTTCCTTCTCATGCTTTCTTCCTCTCCTTCTTCTCATTTTTCCCTTCCCTTCTCTCCTTTCCTCCTCCCCCTCTTTTCCTTCCCTTCCTTCTCTGTTTCTATCCCTTCCCGTTTTCTTCCTCTCTCAATTCCTCATCGTTCTCCCCATTTCCTTCTCATCTCTTTCCCCTTCCTTATACCCCCTTCCCCTTCTTCCACCACTTTCCCCTTTCCCTTCTCTTCCTCCCCTTTGCCCTTCTCTCTCCCCCTCCCTTCACTCTTTCTCCCCTCTCCTCTCCTCTCCTCTCCTCTCTCTCTCTTCCCCTCATTTCGCGCACGATTATATCAGACGCATATGAGGAGGATGTTAGAAAGATGGAGAAGGAGGAGGGAAGTACGAAGGAAGAAAGGAAGACGGAGGAGAGGCAAAGGGAAAAGAAAGAGGAGAAGGAACCAGAAGAAAGGAGTGTAAGAGGGAGGAGAAGGAAAGGGTATATTTGAGATAAAAGGATAGGAGAAGGGATTAGTGAAAGAAAAAATAATTAAAACGAAAAAGAGAAGTGAGAAGGAGAGGAAGAGAAACTTAAAAAAAAAAAACGAACAAGGGAAAAAAGAGAAGGAGGAGAGAGGGAAGGAAAAAGAGAGAGAGAGAGAGAGAGAGAAGGAAAGAGGAGGAGAGGAGAGAGAGGAGGAGGAGGAGAGAGGGAAGGAGAGTGCGAGGGTGTGCGACGGTGATGCGAGGTGGTGGCGCCATGCACTGCTTGTGTCTTAGTAATGAGTCGCTTGCCTTCACAGAACCTCGCCCACGTGTTATGACTGGGGAAGAATTTCCTCTTTTTTTCATAAAGTTTTAAAAAATAATTCTAGATTGCTATGTTTTTTTAGGGGATGAATAATTAGCTCATGTGTATATATGATTATAACAAGTCATAGTTTTGATACATTTGAGTCATTTTACTGTGATGTGTAACGTAATATAACGTATATTTCAATAGCATCTGATTTGTTTTAATTGTAGCAGGAAGTTAATGTTTGATTTCAACTTTGGACCTTATTAAGTTAGTGAATTGTCCAAAGGCTTGTATCCCTTCACTCATGAACTCGATTTCTGATTGGTTAAGAAAAGAACAATAAGGAAAATTATTAAATGATAGTAATTCTTCAATTGCTATAAGTGCTTAACTAAAAGCACCTAAAAGTAAGATTAGTATTGTGAAAAAAGGACTAAAATCAGAAGAAAAACACGTGTTTACATTCCGCCGAGAGGGTCTGAAGAGCGGCTGAAAGCAACGCGGTCTCTAATTGGCTGCTATTTACGGTCACGTGATTGCAACGACCAATCAGCTTTCGAGTTTCAGAGAGTGAACGTGCAGGAAGTCTGGATATTTATGCAAATGTATGAGATCACTTTTTTTCCGTTTGTTTGTTGCTTTTTTTCGACTGCGTGCGATTTTTTTTTGTGCAGTGGCGTGTGAGCACATTTGGAGGAAGTGAAAGCGCATGTTTATCGAACAGTTTTTTTCCTTGTGTTGCTCTGCGTGCGGCGTGTTGTTTTGTGGCATGTTTGTGAACAAAGAATGCTTATTTTTTTTATTTGTTTTAAGTAACGCAGTGGCGTGTGAGCACATTTGGAGGAAGTGAAAGCGCATGTTTATTTTGTTTTGCTGATTTTACTAACGTCTTTCAATTTTGTTTATTTGTGGTTTCGTAGTAATAGTACTTTTAGGAATTACTACTACTGCTATTTGTTTCATGATAATACAGCGTGCATAGATATTAATACTACTGCCTTTTTTATAAATTGATACTACCTGTGGCAAGTGCTATCACAGCACGAATCCCATTATTTCCACAACTAATACTATTATTAGTATATATTTTTTAGAATACTGCTTTACTATTACTACTACTTCTACTACTACTACTACTACTACTTTCTTCTTCTACTACTATACCACTACTTCTTCTACTACTACTTCTTTCTCTTCTTCTTCTTCTTCTTCTTTCCTCTTCCTCTTCCTCTTCTTCTCTTCTCTCTTCTCTTCTTCTTCTTCTTTCTCTACTACTACTACTACTACTACTACTACTACTACTACTACTACTACTACTACTACTACTACTACTACTACTACTACTACTACTACTACTTTTATCCTTGGCAAGAAACCCGACTGAAGTATGTGTGGATTCGTGCATGCCAAGGTTAATAGTGTGGCGATAAACCTTCCTTCACTCCAGGTCTACTTGGTAAGTCATTTTGCTTTGGTTAAACTGAAGGAAATCCGTAAGTAACGTTTGATATTTGAATTTAGTGTTATTGATGTTATTGGTTTATGGTTTATTTCGTCTGAGGTTTTTAGTGATTTTCTTTTTTTTTTTTTGGGGGGGGGGAGGTGTCTCTGAAAATTGTGGTGATTGTTATTGCGAAATTTCCTGTGATTGTGAAAGCATCGTCGACAAAGGGATTCGATTGCGCTTTACGATTATATTTTATTTCTTTCTGGCTTCTGGTTTCCGATTTTAGAACAACAGTCGGTTGGAAATTTGAAGAGAACAAAGCACAGCGAGCGACGACAGAGAAAAAGCATGTGAGTGTGTGTCGGGAAAGTGAACAAAACGAGTGACGGCGGAAACCAGGTGGCGAGCTAGTCACGTGACCTTTGTGCCTTCACGCTGGCGTTTTGTTTTTTATTTCTTTCTTTTATTGTTTTTCTTTCGTTTTTTTAATACGTGAGTTTTTGTTGCAGTAGGGCTCCTCGTTTGAGGCAGATGACTTATTTTTCTTCCGAGAGAGAGAGAGAGAGAGAGGAGAGAAATAGATTGAGAAGAGAGAGATAGATTAAGAGACCGAGAAAGAGATAGAGGAGAGAGAGAGAGAGAGAGAGAGAGATCGACTGAGACAGAGAAATAGACAAGAGAGAGAAGAGAGAGAAAGAAAAAGGGGAAAAAAAGAAAGAAAGAGAGTGTGGGAGAGAAAGGAAGAGAGAGAGAGAATCGGAGAGAAATAGAACCTTGTTTACGCGAAGGCGATGCAGGAAAAGCCACTATTATACACGGGGATAAGCCTTTATTTTAAGATGGCTTCGGGAACTCAGACGAGTCAGGAAAGGGGTATCGGGCCAAGATAAGAGTAAACATCTTCCTTTTTTTTGTCTTTCATTTTTTTTCTTTCTTTTTATTCGGTATCCATTGGAGTTTAAATTGCCTTTGCTTGTGTGAGTTTCTTTTTCTTTCTCTTTCTTTCTTTTTTTTACCACTTCTTGATTTTATTTTTGCCTCGGATTTACTTTTTGTTTTTGTTTTTCTTCTGAGTGATATATAACATTAGTTGGATGGGAAAGGAAGAGAGAAATAAGATTGAAAACGTGGGAAATAGAGAGATGAAAGAAGGGAAAGAGAAGAAGAGGGAGAGGAAAAAGAAGGAAAGGGGAACGAAAGCGGGGAAAGAGAAGGAGAGGGTGAGGAAAGCGGGGAAAGAGAAGGACGGGAAAAGGGGAAAGGGAGAGAAAAGAGAAGGAATAGGAGAGGAAGAAGAAGAAAAGGGAGGAGAAAGAGAAGGGAAGGAAAGGGGAAAGGGAGATAAAAAAAGAAGGAATAGGAGAGGAAGAAGAAGAAAAGGGGAAAGGGAGAGAAAAGAGAAGGAAAGGGAGAGGAAGAAGAAGGAAAGGTAGGAAAAAGAGAAGGAAATTGAGGAGAAAGAGAGGAAAAGAGAAGGGAAGGAAAAGGGAAACGCTACGAGAACCACGTGACTTTTCCAATATCACCCGACGTTCAAGAACAAGAACTTGCCCTTGCGACTCTGCGAGAAGAAACTCGTTTGGAGTGTTGTCTCGTCTTCTTTCTTTGTCTTGTCTCGGAGTTCTCTTCTTGTTTCCTTCTTATTGTTTTTCTTTTTCTTTTTCTTTTTCTTTTTTTTCGTTTGTTCCTTTCTCTCTCTCTTTTTTTCCCCTTTACTTGTTTTTCCTTGTACTTCCTTCTGTGTTTTTTCTCCATTTCCTCCACTCTTTCTTTCCTCTCTTGTTTCCCTCTGTTCCCTCTTCTATCCTCTTCTTCCTTCCTTCCTTCCTTCCTCTTTCCTTCCTCTCTTCTCTTCCTTCCTCTCCTCCCTGCCTCCCTCTTTCCATCCCTTCCCTCTTCCTCTCTCCTTCACTCCTTCCCTCTTCTCTTCCTTCCCTCCCTCCTCTTTCCATCCCTTCCTTCCTTCCATCTACTCCTTCAAAAAAAAAAGGTGGAGCAGAAAAAAGTCTTAAGGAAACGAAGGAGGGAAAAACACGCTCCTTCAGTCTCGCCAGAGCGCCGTCTAGAAGATTCCTGAAGACGTGAACCGGTCAGCTGAAGAAAGAACTGGGAGGGGGGTGGGGAGGGGATGAGAGGGAGGGAGGAGCTTACGGGGGACTGGAGGATGAGGGAAAACGGTGGGGGTGGGGGGACGGGGTATGGGATGGGGGATTGGGGAGAGGAGAGAGGGGGGGGGGGGATCGGAGGAGGAGAGGGAGAGGGGGAGGGGGGGATGGGGGAGAGGAGGGGTATTGCATCCCTGATCATAATACAAAACTTCTTGACTTGCGCGGGGTGGGGTTTTTAAGGTATGGGTTGGGGTGGGGGGTGGGTGGTCCTGGAGTAGGGGAGAGGAGGAATAAGAAAAGTTACATATCGTTGCAACA